TACAGTTATTGTGGAAGGAAGAGAGGAAGCAAGGGTAGAATGCAGGGCACAGGTCAGAAATTGGCTGAGAGACCTGTCAAATACAGTGCTGGGGAATTCTCAGTTGAGGAATAAGGTGGATATTTTAGATGCCCCCTCAAGAAAGCTGGCATCATCAGAATAGATGCAGTAGAGATAGAGAAACTGAGAGAATAGAATAATCTTTAACAGTAAGTAGGCTGTGAGGATGCAGCTTGGACATGGCCATAAAAATGCTTACAATCATTTTCTGAACTCAGAACTTGCTCAGTATCAACACCAATGTAATAGCACAGCCCAATTTCATAGCTAGGCAGTTTTGCTGATCAATGTAGAGATAGGAACTTACAAGGAAAAGGCCTGACAAGAATTAGGATCTTTGAATAGTTGAATTGTACCAAGATATGGGCAGGTGGTGGTATTCCCGGTAATATTGCTGAACTAATAATTCTGCAGCCCAAGATAATTCTCTGAGGATGTGGGTTCAATCCAATGCTGGCACCGAGTGGAATTTAAATTCAGTTAGAATGTAAAGCTAGTTTCATGGTTACTATTATTGAGATTATCATTGATTATTGTCAAAACCCATTTGGTTTACTCATGGAAGGAAATCTGCCATCCTTACCTGGACTAGCCTACATGTGACTCCCAACTTAATTGACCTCTGAAATGGCCTAGGAAAATATTCAGTGCAAGGATAATTATGGATAGCCAACAAATGGTGGCCGTGCCGGCAATGCATATATTCTATGAAAGAATTAAACAATTAATTTGCTTACACTTTTATTCGAAGGCATGTTAAATAAAGGGAATCTGTCCAAAAAAAGTCTTTTTAATATTAAAATGGGGGTGTATGATACTGCTGTGTCCTGGACTTTTAGAACATTCTGCCAAGTACAGAAACCTTTATTAGATAGCTCCACATTGTAACAGGTGATTTGTTTTGAAATGGGTGATTTATCAAACCAGTTGATTTGTGTTTGTTATCCAGTTGTATCGTATTTTTCTTTAATCTATGTAGCTAGTTCATAAAATAGTGCATACAACTTTGAAAGAAAACTCCTAAAGCACCTCTGTAGTTAAAAGATTGTTATTGCCAGTCCCAGCAGGGGAATGTATATGTTAGCTTCATGACCTTCACGGACAAGAGGAATTTAATCTGAACAGCACACATATTTAGTGCATAAAAATATGTGGAGATTTGTGGCTGGCCTCGAGTTAATCCATTACATTCCATATTTATTGCTTCAGGCGGACATTTTCTGCTGATTCAGTAATAATTAATACATCATATTAATTTATAGTGAAATTTTGCAGCAAAAGATCATAAAATCAGCCAAAGTATATTTTTCACGCAAAGCATTATCGTTTCCTGACTGCTAACAGCGCCCAATACCAATGAGTTTTTGAAATGTGAGCACATTTCTCCAGGAGCTTCTGTGCCAGTGTTTGTGAGGGGGTGCGCCATTCAAAGTTTGGCAGCATTTGTTGAGTGGGGATGGCAGTTTGGAAAATGGAGAAGGCGAAGGAATAGAGGGAGAGGACCTAGAAACCTGTAATGTCAAATTACTTCTTAATTGTAAAACACCAAAGGAGTGAAATTGGCTAAAACTGCACAAAAATAAAATGGGATTGATCCTGACACCACATTCAATTGTTACTGTAGGTCCAAAGAAATGATTTCCGCATTCAGCAGGATTCCTTACTACCTTTATTAGCAATGTATATCACCACCCTGTACCATACTGCGTTGGTTGACATCCTGATCTCAAAAGGGAAATGTATTGTGATTGCCTGAAGCGGACAGAATTTTTTCAAAGTCAACTCAGTTGCGATATTTCGAACAATGGCTGAAGATCTGAGAGAGCAAGGACCGAAGTTTTCAGACAATGAACTTGGGCTACTCTGCACATTTGAGAAATACAATTCATGGGATGTAGGCATCACTGGTATGGCCAGTATTTATTGGCCATTCCTAATTACCCTTGAGGAGGTGATGATGATCATATAAAAACAAAGTGTTGCCAATGCTGAAGAAGTGAAATAGGAGCACTTTCTGTTTTTATTTGATGATGAGTCACCCTCTTGACAACTGAATAGCTTGCTTGCCAATTTCAAAGGGTTGTTGGAAATGATGTTCTGGCTCTGGAGTCCCATAAAGATTAGATCAGCTAAGGGCAGCATATTTCTTTATTTCCCTGAAAATCATTAGAGTATCTGATGTACTGTTGCAACAATCTGGTGGAGATATAGTTATTAATACATTAACACTTCATTAATACCAGCTTTATTGTATATAAGATTGCAAGCTGCCATGGTAGGATTTGAACTGATGTCTCCAAATCATTAAATGAAGGCTGAATTATTAGTCCAATATTCTACCAAAGATCACTAGGATGCATTCACACAGACCCCCTTTATCAAGACAGTTCCCAGTGCACTTTCTGTTATAAGACTGTGTATGCATCTCAGTTCTTAATTTTACATGTTAGGATATCCTGCAGCAGTTAAAAAGCAGGCAGAACAAAGCACTATTTCTTTTCTAGAGACACACTTAAAAAGAAATCTTGAATGGCTGTTTCAATTTTGCACTCAGTTTTCAGGAAAGGATAAGCTTACTTGACAGGGCAACTGCCAAGCACCTGTGATCACCAACAAATCTATTTGTCAGCAGTATGTCTCTGGCAGTTTGACAGGTAAATATATTAAAATTTGACCTTATTTTGTTCATAGCCTGTGTGAAATTGTACTGTGTGTTATTACCACTCAGAAAATTCAATAGTCCCCAATTTTTGCGGTGATCATACTGCAGTTTTAATGTTATTGTCACAGCCACGCATCACCCCAATTTTGAAGCAAGGTCAGAGAGGGCATTATAAGGCTGGAAAATGTAAAACCGGAAGCAAAGATACAATTTGTCATTGAGTACACTGAGCAGATGAGAAAGTAGGGGTTGGAACTGCAGGCAGTAAATTAAGCAAAATTAGAGAGGCTTTTTTTAAACAAAACCATGAGCTGAACTTAATGGCCACCATGTCCCTTGTTTGGCATGGGCTGGTTGAAGCATAGGGTCTCTTTCCATATTCTATGACTCTATGACTCTAATAGCTAAGAAGCCAACACTGTCACAGCCATTTCTGCAAGTCTCACCAAGATTAAACCCAAGTCAGGTGCTTACATGCCTGCTGTTGGTGTTCCTGCCTTCAAGACAAGGTTCTTGCCTTCAACAGTTGTAAGTCACAAAACTGGCAGCTCTTCAGTCCAAACAGTGCCACCAAGAATAGTGGCCATGGATGGGACTGCAGCAAGAACGGAATGAAGGCAGCAGCACTGGAGATCCAAGATAGAGGTATGTTTGGGCAGATTCACTGAGGGCAGTTAAGCAGGCCCCAGAGAAAAGTGAGGTTCAATGTTTAGGGATGGGTAAAGATTTTCAGCAGGAGTGGGCCTTGCTGCCCATAGAGCATCCATGAGATACAGAGTGTTGTCAATCAGGAGGACCACAAGCTCACAAACTCACGGGTACGTGCTGTGGGCTAACTCCCACCATTGGTAGAATATTAGTAGCAATGCATTAGAGCCCAGGAATGGCCTTTAAGTGATCAATTAGGGGCCACAATTAGATGGGGGATGGGAAGATCAACCTCAAACTTCCCAATCTTTACTTAATCAGGGAAGTCAGCAAAGCAACAGATTCTCCACCCTGAGTCTTCCCTCACAATTAAGCAGAGTCCCCAGACCACATTTCAAACCACTCCTAGAGAGTAAAACCCACCTTATGTTTTAAGTGCACATTTGTGGTTGATGGAACATAATGGGCAGGATGTTCACCGTACTGAAATCAGTTTCTGAAAACAACATAATTTAACTTGAATGTTTCAAGTACAAATGTGTAAACGGAGAGATTATTCTGATTGCAGAAATACAGCTGGCACGTGCTCAGAATTGGGCTGTGATATCAACCACAGAAATTGACAGGCCATAGGAAGTGGCTGCAAAATGTTGCTGCCCTCACCATGCTCCATGCACGGTGTGGTTGGTGCCCATTGCAGACACCACAGGACGTGGCATTGGGGAAGAGGCGGAGGGCGAGGGGCTGGAGGCAAATTAGAATTGATCTCCTTGCCGCACTGCAACAGGACATCCATCTGCCACAGGGGAGGGGAGTGTGCAGGCGTAGTGCAACTGCTGGACAGTTGCTTATTTATCAGATCCACTATAGGTGTAATTTTCACTGGAGAGGAGAGCATGGCTGGATTGGGAGCCTTCAAAAATGTGTTGTGTAAGCCGCAAACCTCTGAAAATGACTTTAAAGTGAAAACACAGATGACGTACCTGACAGCTTTGTCACTTTGCAAACCTGTGTTCATGCAGATGTGTGGGGACTGCTATCTATTAGATGCATTCAAAATAAATGCAGTCATGTGTAAAGCTGTTAGATTCAGGGGTGTAGTCAGTTCCTTAGACTTCTTGTTATCTATGGTCTAAATTGAAATTCTTCCTAAAGTTCCTGAAATGAAGTGTTGTCTATTTTCTTTGCTGAATATACGATGCATACTTTATACACAACTATGGAATTTACTCTAACATTTTTCATACAATATGTACATTAACTGTACAAGCACAGAGCACTCGGAGATAGTAAGAACTGCAGATGCTGGAGTCAAAGGTAACACAGTGTGGAACTGGAGGAACACAGCAGGCCAGGCAACATCAGAGGAGCAGGAAAGTTGATGTTTTGGGCAAGGACCCTTCTTCAGAATTGGCTTCTTCAGAAAGCACAGAGCACTGTCACTTCCATGTATTGTATAACGGGGTGTTAATAGGACATTAATCCCCTCCACGCCACTCCAAATGTCCTACCAAAGACAAAGTTCTGACCTCACCAATGCTGGCAGAGGTTCATGCTGAACACAAGACAAACAGCTGCTGTAATGACGACAACATTTGCTCATCCTGCTTTTAAAATACAATGCACATGGGACTCTAAACATTGATTTATTCAGGTTTGAACTCCCAATGTGAATCACGAGCATGAAGTAACTTTCATATATCAAGGGACTATGCAAGCGTTGGCAACATCGCGGCTGATTATGTGAAAATGTTGAAAGATCATTCAATTCAAGTCACTTTTTGCATAATTTTTGTTCATAGTTTGTCGCAGTCATTTTCTAAATCAGGTGATAACACCTACAAAAACAAGGAAAGTATTACACATTGAAACAATTTAGGAGCTTCTTTAAAAACTGAGCATAAAAGCAGTTTCCTTCTAATAGTAATAGTAATAGTAATAGTAATACTAATAGTAATAGTAATAGTAATAGTAATTTATTGTTATGTGTATTTATGAAAATGTATACATGTTGCCGTAAACCAGCACCATTTTAATTACATAAATTCTAAAAAGGAATAAATCATACAAAGTTAGGACTCCATACATGGCTTCTTGGTTTCGTTAAAGGCTACAGGATGCTGCATTTCATCTTCATTTCTAAACCTTGATAACATCAATCAATTTTTAACACTTTGGAAAAGCCTATTTGCATCTATCTTACCTAGAATTAAAACCAGAGTGAATTTTGGCATGACTTTCCTCAGGTTTTTAAAGGTTTAGGTAATTTGAAGCAGCAATATCACATTATTATGCAAGAAAATGCGAAGCGTATCCACTTGTAGGAAAATTCCTAATCCTTTGATGGGAAAAGTAAAAATTTAGTTATGCAGCATCGTTGAAAGAATGTCATTTCACTAGTGGCAGAACCAAAAAAGATGCAAAGCTCTAGTAATTGTTTCAAAGGCAAATGAAGAACTAAGATTATACGTGGATCTCTTTCTGTTAAATAGAGGAGTTAGAAGAGAAATCCATTCTGTTTCATCTGTGGATGATTGTTTGGAAAAATTAGCAAAACACAATTTTTTCACAAAACTGGACATAGTGGTGACAGTGATCCTTAAAACAAGAGTCCAGATTGTTGATTAAATTTATGACATCACTGAGGCAGTAAAACAAAACAAAGAACTGCAGATGCTGAAGATCTGAAACAAACAAAACCAGAAGCTGCTTCTGAAACTGAACAGATCTTGGAGAGAAAACAGAGTAAATATTTCAAGTCTGGTGACCCCGGGGCAGTATTGCTTCTACCGTGACTGTTACGGATCTCCCTACACTAGAGATTTTCCAACAGTCATTGTCTAGAATCATAAAAGAGAAACAAGGGACACTTTGGCCTATGGTGATATCCTAGAGAAGGTGAAACAAAGAAGGAACGTGATCAGAGGGGTCAAGAACACATTAAAGGCACTACAAATTGCACTTCTTATTCTAAATTAGAAATGTTAATTTCCTAAATGATGATTGCATTTCTGGAACATATTGTCCAAGAAGAAGGCATTACACTAGATTCAAAGAGGACAGAGGACAAGAATAAATTTGCAGTGCTGAAGATGATGTATGGTGCTTCTTGGGCATTGTGCAAAAGTAGGAAAGTTGATCCCCAGCTCTGCTGCCTCATTCAACCCATAAGAGGCCTCTCTGAAAGAAAAAAGGTCAACAATGGTATGGAGTCAGAAACAGACTGTAACTTCTGTGAAGATTGAAGAGAAGATACCTTCTACTGATGTTCTAACACACCATAATCCAAGCTTATTCACAAGGGCAGCTGTGGGTGAATCAACCACAGAAATAGCAATCCTTATCTATGTGCAGACTGACAGAACATGAAAACCTGTTTATATCACAGCAAAAAATTTTAGAGACAGAACAGAGCTACACAAGCATTGACAAAGCATTAGCAGATTAATGAGTCTGTCAAAGTCTCATAAACGACCTCGTGAGACTGAAATTCAAAATCAAATCAAAGCACAAGCCTTTGTTGAAGTTACTGCAATTTAAAGAAATCTCAAAAATGCCTGGCCATGTACAAAATATCGGGCTCAAGCTGATGAAATACACCTTTGATTTATTTGGGTCCGGCCAGATGGTGTACACAAACTAGGTAGTTGCCTGGGGTACCTGGGTCTAAAGGGTGCCAAATTCAAACTTATTTTATCAAGTAAGTAAAGGTAAAATGTCGTTTATTGAATCCCTACAGTGTGGAAACTGCCCACCCAGACCACACCTCCATTTCAAAGAGCATCCTGCTCAAACCCACCCCCTACTCTGTCACTGTAATCCTATATTTCCCATGGCTAATCCACCTAACCTGCACATCTTTGGATTTAAGGCATCTCATTTTCCTTTATATTCAATGTTGGGTTGCAGCACCAAAGTAAGGGCACCAAAATCCTTTGGCCTGGCCAAAGTCTACGATTTGGGCAAGGCACATCTAATGGTGGAAACATTCTACACTGCACCAGTATGGTTAAAAGCTAAGTCTCTACAATAGCCTACTGTACAATGTAGAACCAGGCACTGCTTATTAAGGAGAGATGTGGTGATAAAGGCTGCTAGGCAGAAACTTGACATTCATGGTTATCAAGGCTACTAAAGACAGAAAGGAGGACAATCAGACAGTTATATCTTATCTATACATTGGGTTGATAGTCTTGAACACAAGGGTCTTGGGCAGGAATCAAACTTTCCAGAAGATCAAGAGAAAACATACAAAAATAAATGTTCTTGAAGACATCAACAGAGCAGTCTAATCAGGATCCTGAGCTTGAAGCTCAGAGAAGAAGCATAGACCCAAGTTGACTGGAGAAAGCCTGGCCAGCTATCCCACACCAGTACAGGTAATACCCAAGTGTCAGTAGGAGTCTGTGGCGGCTTCGTTTGTAACTTAATACAACTTTACACTGTTATGTTAAACTGAAAGAAATAGATTGCAGTAACAGCACAGATTGTAATCATTGTGTTCTCTGACGCTGATTCACAGATGGCAATGGATGACAGAAGCATAGGGAAATTCTATAGAAATTTCATGGTGGACATCTGGGAATCATATTTTGTCGTGCCATCTTTGAGCTATACACAAGCAAGTGCCTATATATTTCATCAAGATGTCCAAAATAGACATGGGAAAGGCTAGCAATGGATATGTGCAATTTTAAAGGGAAGATGTATTTAGTCTTGGTCAAATTTTATTCAAGCTGGATTGATGTGGCAAGACTTCATGGCAAAACCCAGTGATCAGAACACTGAAAATTACCTTTGCAACACAGATAGAAATTATTTAGAATTGGAGGAATTATTATTATACAATATACCTCATGAATGAGGATTTCAGGGTTTTCACTTTGGAGGCAGACATGAACCAGGTGACAAGATCTCTGCTTCATCATCAGCTGAACAGAGAGGCAGATGGAACAGTCAAGAATGAAAAGTTACATGTGTATATGAATCTAGACTGGGAATTAGCTCCACAGAGCAACATCATTGAAGAATGGATACTCACCCGTTGAAATGTTAATGGAAGGAGGTTCAAACAATTGTACTTGTTTTAGATCACAACCTCAAGACATCATTCGATCAACAAACATTTCTTTCAGTGTACATTTTGGTAATTTTATCCAACCAAGTGCAATAGTAAGATTTCATTCCTAAATAGGAGGCAACAAAATGTAAATATGATGTTAGTTGCCCAGTTACTGTTCTCCTGATTCCTTGTATATCTAACCACAATATACAGAAGACAAATTTATTCATTCACTTGAACTTTCTTTGTAGGGACTGTTATCAGTAGACAACCTGTTTCTGTTCGTTACAAAGAAAACACAAGAGGTTTATCTTGTGTTTATCCTGTAACCACAATAATCTTAAGTTGTTTGTCACTTCTCTGGTTGAAAAGCAAGAAAGGAGAACTAGTTTTTCAGACAACCAGATGACAGTTTTGTAAATGCTACTCCTACCTACAGTGAGATAAGCAAGCAAAAGAAAAATGAAAATATGGCACAGAAAATAACTGTAAATAGATAGATGCAACAGTATTCAGTGGCTAAAAAGTAAAGGAAAAGGAAAATGAGAGAATAGGAAAAAAGATTAAGAAAGAAATAACATTGGCCTGGATTTTCCAATGGCCAGAAAGATGGTTCTGCAGTATCAGAATTGTGCAAAATCCCCCACATAGCAGACTCCAAGGGAGACATAAGGTAAAAGCAAGAAAGTTATGCTGAAACTATAGAAAGAACGGGTTAGGTAGGTCTCAAATAGAATATTGTGTCCAAACTTATATATTATAATTTATAGAGGATATCAAGAATGTGGAAACACATGAGATTTATTGGAAAAGGAACAAAAAAATTCAGATACTACAGAAAAGGAGAAATTTACAGAGGTACTCCATATTTTGAAAGGATCTCATTGAGAAACTAGAGAAAGAAAAGTTTCCTGTAAAAAAAGGTTAATTAACCAAAGGCCCTGACAGACTTCGTATTAGGGTGTTAAGAGGCTGCTGAGACAGTAGATGTATTAATTTTAATTTTCCAAAATATCCTAGTTTTAGAACAATCCCATCAGCTAGGAAAATAGCTAATGTGACTCCTTTATTCAAGAAAGAGGGGAGATAGACAAAAAGAAATTACAGGCCGTTTAGCCTAACATCTGTCATTAAAAATAAATGCTGGAAACTGTTATGAAGAATATTGTAACAGGGCACTTAGTAATGAAGTAGAAACAACATGGTCTTGTGAAAGGAAAATCGCTTTTGAATGATTTATTAGAATTTTCTGAGGAAGTAACAAAAAGTGTTGATAAAGGGGAAATAATGGTTATACTGTTCCAAGATTTCCAGAGACATTTGACAAAGTGCCTCATCAAAGGTTACTACACAAAATAAGAGCTTAGAATGTGGGGAATGTCATTATAGCATGGATAGAGGATTACTTGGCTATTAGGAAGCAGAGGTTGGGATTAAATGTGTTCTTTTCTGTTTGACAAATGTGAGCAGTATGCCACAGCGATTGGTGATAGGACCTTAATTATTTACAGTCTGTAGAAATGCCTTGGATAAATGACTTAGATAAAGCCAAATCAGGGCAGGACTTATACATTTAACGGTAAGGTCATGGGGAGTGTTACTGAACAAAGAGACTTTGGAGTGCGGATTCATAATTCCTTGAAAATGGATTCGCAGGTGGATAGGAGAGTGAAGAAGGTGTTTGGTATGCTGTCTTTATTAGCTTGTGCATTGAGTTTAGGAGTTGGGAGGTCATGTTGAGGCTGTACTGGACATTAGTTGGGCTACTTTTGGAATATTGTGTGCAATTCTGGTCTCCCTCCTATAAGAAGGATGTTGTGAGACCTGAAAGGGTTCAGAAAAGATTTCCAATGATGTTTCCAGGGTTGTAAGGTCTGAGCTATAGGGAGAGGTTGAATAGGCTGGGGCTATTTTCCCTGGAGCGTCGGAAGCTGAGGAGTGACTTTGTTGAAGTTTATAAAATTATGAGGAGCATGGATAGGGTAAATAAACAAGGTCTACTCCCTAGGATGGTGTAGCTTTAAGGTGAGAGGGGAAAGATTTAAAAAGGACCTAAGGGGCAACTTTTTCACAAAAAGGGGAGTGCGTGTGTGGAATGAGCTGCCAGAAGAAGTGGTGGAGGCTGGCACAATTACAACATTTAAACGGCGTCTGGATGGGTATATGAATAGGAATGGTTTAGAGGGATATGGGCCAAAGTCTGGCATATGGGACTACATTTATCTAGGATATCACGTCAGCATTGATGAGTTGGACCGAAGGATCTGTTTCCGTGCTCTATGTCTCCAAATGGACCGAATGTCTGGTTGCTAAAAATGCTGATGTTACAGATATAGGTAAGAAAGTAAGCTGAAAAGCTGACATATAGAATCTGCAAAGGAATACACGTCATTTTAATAAGTGGGCAATAATGTGAGTATAATGCGGGAAAATGTGAACTGGTCTACTCTAGGAAGGAGATTAGAAAAACAATATATTTTGAGGTTGGTTGGCTCACCGAGCTGGTTCGTTGTTGTTCCGCAGACGTTTCATTACCCTGCTGGGTAACATCGTCAGTGCAGCCTCCAATGAAGCGTCGGTGTGTTTTCCCACCTGGTTTTTAAACTCTGGAGTCCGTTGCGCCGGATTACCTCACTTCCGGTTTTCCTTCGCAATGGAGTATATATGGGAGTGAGTTCTATGTGTTTGTTGATGACTTTCTTTGTGGAGTACCAGGCTTCTAGGAACGCCTGTGCTTGTCTCTGCTTTGCTTGTCCCAGGATCTTGGTGTTGTCCCAATCGAATTTGTGGTTCTCCTTATCGATGTGGACAGAAACCAGGAGGGAAAACACAACGGCGCTTCATCAGAGGCTGCACTGATGATGTTCCCCAGCAGGGTAATGAAATGTCTGTGGAACAACAATGAACCAGC